ATATAAAAGAAGACTTCATATGTGATTTGAAGTGACAGTGAGACTGTTATAAATCCGTTGCCAGAATACGACTAGTGAAGATAGGACTCTAGTGCGTCTGTAACGGTGAACAGCATAGCGTGCAGATCAGCAACAGAACTGCAATGCATGTAGTTCCAAGTACTGTTTATAAAGCGTCAATAAATCTAATTATCTAATCGATACCCCATCTTACAAGTCACGCACAAACTCCTAGACATGCAAGATAATCGAATAGAATTTCCGTTGGTGAATGAAGAATTGGAAAGGGTGCAGGATGAAGTGGTCGTGGCATAACTTAAATTATTATCGCGGCATTTATCTGAAGAGACTGAATAAAATCATAAGCGGCTCAAGATAGCCCAAAACCGGGACGAGATAAAATTTCAAAACCTGACAATAACCTATAAATATATGTGCATTGCCTCATATAATTTTATTTAGACTTTCAACATATTTTTTAAAAGATAATCTAGTTGTTCATAGCGACTGGAGGTAAAGGTAAAGTTGTCCCTGTGCTTAACTAATTAAGCACTACGCCATGAAAGCGTATGGGGGAGTGGATGTATAGATCCACATCTTGATCTCGACAATAGTTGGAGCTGAGTGGTCAGCTTCATGGGCAGACTTTAGCTCCGGGGAAAGAGCCTCTGGTACCCACTGGATAGGAGGTTGGGTGGCCCCCAAAGTCGGTCTGGACGAGGGAGAGAAGATAAAATTCTTGACGCAACCGGGACTTGAACTCCGACTCCTCGGTCGTCCAGACCATAGCCAATCGTTGTACCGCTGTACCCGGTTCATAATTCAAAGCGACTTCACAAGAAAATTACTATACAAGTGAAAAAAATTAGGAAGTACTTGAAAAATGGGTGATGAGCATATTTGGGTTTAAAGGGGGAAGAAGCTAGGGCAGGCTGGAGAGGTTCACAATGCGTACTCCTCTCGTAATTATTAGGCTGTTCAAATAAAGGAGAATGAAACGAGAAAAACATGTTGTACGGGTAGCAAATATGAGAAATACATACAGAATTTTGGAAGGACAGACTGAAAGGCGAGGCAACTTAAGTGACTTAACTTTAAAATATATGCTATAAGGTAAGATGATATTAAAAATGATCTTAAAGAAATTTATTTTCCTATTTTCTATTTTATTATTATGATAAACGGCCAGTTGCTGGTCAGTCCAGTAGGGCAGTAACGAAAGTTCTGTTCCGTTAAAATGCGGGGAATTTCATGACTAAGCAAATAAATATCAGTCTTTAAAGAAAAGGGCACTGTTTCTTGACACTAAGCAGCATTTGATTGAGCGGTGATAGAAAACGAGACTTAATAAAAGTGGTAAGTGATCAGCTCCGCGTACTTCTGAATGCAGCCAAAAGATGACCCTACTTTACGGTTTAAAATTGTGTTTAACAAATTATTTCTCATAGGTAAAATAAACGAAACAATTCTAAATTTAAAATTATATACGACACAGTCAACTGCGTAAACTAACAATAAACAGTTAAGTGACAAGGAACAATGCTTTACGAACTACACAATGTCGACACGAAATGGCGCCGTTCCATGATGCAGGCTGTCATTAGAGTTGAAGCTTGAGAAGGTTGGAACGTAATTATCGACTTTATAGAGGGGAGGGCCAAAAAAGGATGATTGCAGGTATCGGTCACTTCAGAGAGAAAAGTATCACACGACGGTCCTCTGACAGGCGAACCAACCGGGTTAGACCTGAGCAAACGGCATCACATTAAGGGTTATTACACTTCACTCGCACAGCAAACAGGTGACAATGTATGCTAGCTGGCGCCACGGGCTCGTTTAGGCTTTAAGGTTCAAAAAGTATCGTACTAATTGGTTATTTCGTCTATTGTAGAGATTCCCAACCCTATGACCGCGGGCACCTCCGTTCCCTCGGAAAGGTTTATGGATCAAACAGAGGATTTTAAACTAATTAGTTGATTAATCTAGCTTAGCCGTTCGTGAGAAGCCGCCAATTTTCCAGCATTTTATGGAACCCGAAGGTTCATTATAGTGTTCACATGAGTCCACCAATGATCCCTATCCTGAGCCATTCCTATCCAATCCACACCATTCCATCCTATGTCTCTAAGATCCATCTTAATGTTGTCCACCCACCTACGTATTTGCCTTTCCAGTGGTCTCTTTCCTTCTGATTTTCCCACAAATATCCTATATGCATTCCTCTTCTCCTCCATTCGTGCTACATGCTCTATCAATCTCTTCCTCCTTGACTTGATCATTCTAATTATACATGGAGAAGAGTACAAGTTATGAAGCTCCACGTTATGCAGTTTTCTCCCACCTTCTGTCACTTCAAATCTTTTCGGTCCAAATTTTCTCCTCAACACCCTGTTCTAAAACACCCTAAGTTTACTTTTTTTTATTGCTAGTGGGGTGGGACTAAGTCCCTTGTACTGCGGCCACTTCTGGCCTATTGTACCAGCCCCAGATGACAGGTGAGGATGATTGTGGAGCAATTGGTGGAATGAATATTGGCATGGGAAACCGAAGTACTCGGAGAAAACCTGCCCCAGCGTCACTTTGTCCACCACAAATCCCACTTGACCAGAGCCGGGATCCAACCCGGGCCGCCGCGGTGGGAAACCAGCGACTAACCGCTTGAGCTATGGCGCGGCCTAACACTAAGTTTATGTTCCTCCCTCAATGTCAGAGGCCAAGTTTCAGACCCATACAGAACCACATGCAAAATAGTTATGTATATTCTAATTTGTATGTTTTTGGGCAGCGGACGAGAAGACAAAAGGGTGTGGACAGAATGGTAGCAAGAATTACCAGAGTTCAGTTTCCTCTATAGAGGATTTTAACGTTCAAAATAATATCCTGACTGTTCACAGATGACCCCAAATCATGTGACGGTTTCCACTGTATGAACCGAACCTCTACATTGTGTTCAAGGAATTCTAATAGTTTAGATTGTGTTCATGTGTCACATTAAGAGATTCAGGTAATATAATGGTAAAAATTCAATTCATAATAAAATTATTTATTATTTTTAATCAAATTATGGAGAGAGAGCGTGTCAGATCAGTGTTTCGGAAAATATACTGACGCCAGAACACAAACTGCTGAGCTGTCCGTTACTGGTTTAGTTCGAGCAACTTGGTCCAGTTCTGGAGGACCGGAAGTCCAAGGTGATTGAATAAGAAATGGCACAAAGAATTAACGGTAAGTTGAAGTGATACATAGTTCCTGTGAAAAATCCTTTGCTAGGAAACGGACAGTGATGACTAGTGAAGGCACCCTCAGACGGTTCAGTGCAGTGTAGTCTGTAGTGTGAACACAAGAGTAGCATGAGTAGTATGAACCTGAATATAGATGCATTCTGAGTCAGTTAGGCCCACATTCAGCCACCAAATTTGAGTATTATCCTTTGCCGCTTGTCTGAAATTGCTCAACAAATATATTCTAAATCCACCCTCCATATTTGGAGGGACCCTCCTCCATCGCTAATCTTTGAACAAAATGAACAAAAGCACGAAGCCAATTAATTTATATGCGTCCCATAGGAATTCATATTTTATTTCTCGAGTAGTTGCGCCAAGCTTATTTTCAATGCCTTATTAGCCAGTCAGTTTTCAAGACAGAAGTACGATACATGCCTCTGTACATACTATATATTTATAAGGGTACATATATTGATCCTTCATTACGCTAGAGACTATTGAACTTCAATTCTATTGAAGCTTCTGTTATAGCTCCGTTACGTACGTTTGTATACAGTGCGCTGGACACATTAGGCCATTAAAGGACGCTTTAATATATTCAATGTGAATTTTGGACACATTTACATAAGAAACACCCCGAAAATATAAAATATAGTCACACATTATAGGAGTGTGTGACTATAGACGGGGTTTGGATTCGATGATTGGATTTATTGCACTTATACATTCAACTTCAAACTACAAGTGATTCAGCGCTGTCGCTGATCTGCACAATTTACAATTCAACATTACACATACGATAGAGATTTCAGTCTTTACTAGTCGTATCCTGCCAACGGATTTCAGCATAGTAATTATACAAGTTTCACTGTAACTGCAACATACATGTAGTCTCTCCTTCGCGCAGCATAATTGCTTCTTGCCATCTCTTCTCTATCATCTTTGACTTCCGCCTCAAGGCTCCCTTAAAGTCAAAGTCACATTGCGACTGACGGTCAGTCAGTTAGTAGGCCTTGGTGTCCAGCCCCATATGGAGCCCATAACCAGATATTTATTATTGTTTGACAGTTACGGTCTTGTTTTTATGGGACGTCCTCTCTGACGAGAGGACGGGTCTGCCTTTGTCCGAATCCCTTGGGACTCGCGACCATATTTTACTGTCTCAGATTTGAGACCTCCCTCTTCGTCTCCTCGTACGGCTAGCAGGGTCATGGTGGGATTCGACTCCGCGTCCACACGGGTAAGAGACTCCATCAATTCTCGGATCCTCCTCATATCCACTTGGGACGGATCCAAGAGGAAACACCGTTTCCGAAGTTATAGCTCAAGAATACTTCGATTTTTCCATACGTATTCGTTGGCGCAGGAACCTATTTACCGAGTCGTTGCCTAGCAATTAACGTCTACTCTGGCTCCACTATTCCGGGTTTCAGGCGTCATGTCACAATAAGAACATTTTTTTATCGAGATTTAATGTGTATTTCACAGTTCATGCAAAAGAATCATTAAACTTTTAAGGTCTACTTAAAATATTTTTTGACTATCTAAGAAATTAAATAGAAGAATGAAGTGAACATAAAAAACGTGGGATGGTCCAACAGCCCCCTACATTCAGAGGCCGGAGATACGGTAGGCGGAGTCCAATCAAAGCATAGGCAGCTCCTCTATATGAAAACAATTACCGGCGATAGCTTATTAGTCTAAAATAACCCTTTGCTCAAATTAAAGACTGTAGCTACTGGTCTTGTTTACGCCGAATAAATTACCTTACCTTACCTTGTACCTCGACCTCGTACAACTGTGTAATGACCAGGAAAATGTTGCCACCACGAAGCATCCCCCTGAAAAGTAATAAATACAACTATATTCATACAATGCTCTCACATTGTAACATGGATGGCCAGAGTGTTGCTAGGTAACGGACCGGTAAACACACGCGATACACGCTCGCAACAAAGGAACGAGTTTAAAGAACTTGCTTCTAGGCAAAGGCACAGTAAATAGACTTCCACGCAGAAGCAATGACGTCACACTGGAACAGTACTATCACATGGCTTCTTTTCTGTGTTGTCCGTGCGGCATATATATAACGAATATCTGTTTAAGTCACAATCGCAATGTGAGGTCTGTGTGGAGCGGGCCCTATTATCTCTGCCGTGACCCTGCGAGTCGTAGGAGGCGACGAAAAGAGAAGTCTAAAATTTGAGACAGTAATATATGGTCTCGAGTACCAAGGGACTCGGACCCGAGAAAGACTACGCTGGCAAGGACGAGCAGACACGTCCTCTCGTCAGAGACGGCGTCCACAAAAAACAAGACAGTAACGTGAAACAGTAATAAAGAGCTAGTCATGAGCCCCAGATCGGTGTTTTGTGTCAAGACAGACTGGGCGACTGACCGTCGGTCGCAATGTGAGGTGTTTAAGCGAATTATGAAGGGTGTATAAATCAGTGGTAGCGCTGTATTAAATGTGATTAATAGAACTTGCAACCGAGCTGTTAATAAATCCAATCATCCGAACTAGAACCCGTCATTCTCGTCACGCGTAGCAACCTACACGTGGCAATATTACTGAAGTTCTTACAATGTCTAAGATAAGTAACCTAACTAAATGCAGTAAAATGAAAAAGTAACATGCGCGTGTTTCTAAGGTTATGATTTCAGATTTCTCTTTGGCAATAAAATTCGACTAAGGGGCATAGTTGATTGAGACACTAGGCTACAAGCCAGAAGGTAGCGGGATCGAGTCCCGGTAAGGTGGATTTTTCAATTTACCTTATCCTTCCAGCCTCACTATGGCCTCGGCTTTGACTCAGCCTCTAACAGAAATGATAACCAGGAATCTTCTGGGAGGGGGGGTATAGGGCGGCCGGCGCGTAAAGCTGACAAACTTACTGGCATCTCTCACTCTGTTCTCTAGAGAAAATATGGGAGCCTCGACGTCTCACAACCCTGTGGGCCTTGACGGCATGTTACAGGGATAACTTTGCCTAACAGAACTCGACTGAGGGTGGATAAGTAATACGATTGCGAACATTAAATAGAAAAGAGCTTCATAATTCACCAAATTCACAATATTCACCAAATATTCACTGTGGTAGGATGTCCTTATTGTTGTGTTTTGTGTATTGTGTTTTGTTTGAACTTGTTGTCACTTAGTGTAATGTGTGTTACTTGTCTGTTGTGTCCTATTGTGTACTACTGCCACCGGGCTAAAACCCAATTGCAGTATAATAAATTATATATATATATATATATCATTGTACTTGTAGTAATCAAAAGAAGGAAGGAGAGGTGTGTAGGACACTCAGTGTTCTTGGAGAAAAGAGAAATGCATATAATATTTTGGCCCGCTTAGCCTAAATGGAAGACACCAATGGGAAAACTGAGTGCATAGGGTAGAATAATATTTTTTATTTTAATGTTGTTTATTTAACGACGCTGTCACTGATACGACTACATAGCGTAAAAATAGCCTAATTACTAAATTTGAAACATTTGGTGGAATGAGAGTTGGCAGGAGAAACTAAAGTACTCGGAGAAAAGCGGAACATTACCACTTTATTGACCACAAATCCCACATAACCTGACCTGGTATCGAACTCAGGCCGCCGCTATGGGAAGCCGGTGACTAACCACCTTAACTATTACACTGTAAAGATAATATTAAGAGGGATCTGAAATTGATGACGTGGGGGGCTATGGAGTGGATTCGTCTGGCTCACTATATTTGTATTCTGATTATTACAGTGTTGCCTGAATAGGAGTTATATTATCTTTATATCTTACAGTCCCTGCTTCACACCAGAGTGCGGTTACTAAATGATATTCCATAATATCGTCTCTTTAATTTCAAACGACAGAGGAAATAAGTTTACCTACGTACAAAAACGGAAATAGTCTAATTCTTAAAGCAAATTATTTATTTACGATTGTTAAATGGCAAATCATAGTGCCCGCGAGGTCTATGGCATAAATTTTCTTCGACCGCTAAAACACTGGGATCATAGGTTCGAATCCCACTTGAGGCATGGAAGTCTGTCTGCTTTTCTTCTGTGTTTTGTTGTCCTGTGTAGCTAGCGGCCTTGTCACATGGCTGATCCCCCGTCCAAGGAACCCTACCGACTGTCTATAAGATCCGTAGATCTAGTTTAATTCTCATGTAAAACATGTCAGAGGGTCTAATAAGAAATGTAGAAGAAGAAAAAGAAGAATACTAAACGTTTCCAAGTTAAGTAAAACAAAATATATCAAGAACCAGATGTTCTTATAAGCAATACACACCACACGAGCCAGAGGACCTTCAAATGACTCTAAAATTATACGAGAAAATTACTGTAATTCAGGGTTAGGTCTAATCGTAACCAAAGAACATTATTATCATAAATACTAAGGATCAAAGACGCAGTAAGGGGCGTAGAAGAACAGAAAATAATGATAGAACAACGAAGAAAATAAGAGTAACAGGACGAAGATAACTACAAAAAGCACTCACCATAAATGGAAATTTTAAATTCATTTCATATTCCCATAAAAAGAAGGAATATATTGGAAACAGATCTAATTTATTGATAGGAAAAATGTCAGAAATAATTTTAAAACTCTTTAAAGATGAATTAAAAAATACCTACAAGGTAAAGGTAACGCTATCCCTCTAACAGATCGTGGAGACCTATAGGTTTGTGAGACGTCGAGGCTCCATTTCTGGACAATCGGCTCACAAATGGCAGTGAGATTGTCAGCCTTACGCTCCTGCCGCACCTTTACTACCAAGATGGTTCCTGGTACTCATTTCTGTTAGAGACTGAGTCGACCCCAAAGCCATAGTTCGGCTGGAAGGATTAGGTGAACTGAAAAATCAAATGCCCCCAACGGGAATCGAACGCGTGACCTTCCGGCTTGTAGCATAGTGCCTCAACCAACTACTCTACCGCATCAAAACAAAAATACGAAGTAAATTTTCGTGATTTTAGAGCAGTAAATGTGCCAATAAAATCTATGGATTCTATTTTTGTTTTGTGGAGGCCCCAGGGTGAGCGGCCCCATCGCTCCCCTTTAAATCAAACTGTGGTTGTCCTTACCAGTGTACGGCCTTTAGAATATATTTCTGTAAAACGGTAGGAAACTGTCAACAAAATACTAAAACTAAAATCATAATTTTTAAGCAAAACATCTTTAACCTTGCAGCTTGTCGGTCAAAATAATTTTTTGGCCGAGGAATATTCAATAGCTCTTAAATTAATCTGTTTGTTCGTGCGCTAATATGTACACCGTGCGAGCCGGTCTTTACCAGTTTCTTTCTCATATCACAGTTAGTATAGCTATGGGCTGGACAACGAGGATATCGTGGTTCAACTCCCCGCAAAATATATGAGATTTTTAAATTCTCTGTTGCTTCCAGACCGGTTCTGAGGTCAATCCAGGCTCCTATACAATCGGTACCAGCCGTCGTGAGTCCGAGAGCAAGGCGGCAGTTGTGCAAAAGTGGTTATATCTAGCGTCGAATTTAAGAACAGTATTATAACACACCCATTCTTCCATATGTTTTCAGGATGTTGTGCTGAATTAATTAAGCACAGAGACAAGTTTACCTGTATATACAGAGTGGTTCTTAATGAAATTGACGCGTTCACGGCTCCGCGTTTCACCGCGACTGGCGCATCGCCGACCGCAGAGCGCACGAGAATTTTGCCGATAACTCAGCATGCCCGTAACATTTGGAATGAAGGAAAGTTTTACCTTTGTTCACAAATCACAGTAAGTGTTGAAGAGCTGTCCCTTTACACGTAAACATTCCTCGTACCGCGGAATAAGTTTTGATTTGTCTTCTGAAGATTCTCAGCATGAATATTTGAACTTTCCCTACGAATGTTCTCTTTCATTCTTCCTTTCGGTCGAGGGTTACTTTTGTAAACTTTGTCCTCTACACAACCCCAGAAGAAGAATGTATCACTTATCCTCAGTAAACACTCGACGCTTATGTTTCATTTTCTTGTCTATTAAGAGTCCTACAAATTATGAATTGAAGAAAGCAGTCTTCTTGGATTTGGCACCGTGTATATGTGGTGTTAACCGACGTTTCGGAGGAACGTATTGCCTCCATCTTCAGGGTAGAAGGAAAAATATAAGAAATCCGCAAGCGAAGAGACCGTGAGAACCGCTACAAACAGACACCATTCTGAAGAAAGTTGTCTTCTGGGTTTAGGCACCATTCTGCTTACGGATTTCTTATTTTTCCATCTACCCTGAAGATGGAGGCGATACGTTCCTCCGAAACGTCGGTTAACACCACATATACACGGTGCAAAATCCCAGAAGACTGCTTTCTTCATAGTCACAGACGTGAAAACCTCAAATCTTACAAATTATGAACTGTTTGTCTGCTGGGAACTCTTTCATGATGAAATTTCCGTCGAAATTTTTGCCAGTACCTTCCAGCAAATCTGTATTTCGGATAGGTATCGTACAGAAATGCACGTTGCTCTATAGTCTCGAATACAAAGTCGTGCAAAACTGCTGACTGACTTACAAATCATAAACTCCCACGCATGAACCTCACTTTCTGCCGTGTAATATAATACCGTGTAGAGGTATACTGGTTAATTATTTCCTTTCATTCCAAACCTTATCGGCCGTCAAGCATGTTGGGTCATCGATAGAATTTGCTTGCGCTTAGAGGCCGGCGATGCAGAGGTGGCGGTGAAGTGTGGAGCCGTGAACACGTCAACAGCTTAAAAATTTCTCTGTACATATATATATATATATACATGAGAGAATTGTCACGGTGCTGCCTGATGATATGAATGAACTGGCACTGGTTTCAGGTCTTGATAAATCCACC